ACATTCGGCAACATCAGAAGCAGAAGCGTCGCGATCTGGCAACATTGAAACAAGTTTCGAGAAGGACCACGTGTATCGACAGAAGGCGAGAAGAGAAAATTTACATACTATACTTAAGTACTAATAGTTCACGAAAATAATAATTTTCGTGAACTATTATTACTTAAGTATGTAAAAATTTATTACATTTCCTGTTGTACGAGGGTTTTACCCAATTCTCGAACTGTGTTAGAGTGAATCCGTGCTATAGAAGTGCCGTGTTATACGGGGGTTACCTGTATAAGCTTACTTTAAGAAAACGTAAAATAAATTTTTAATACTCTATTTATTCATTTTTAGTCAATTTTTTCACAGCTCTTTCAAACACAATCAAATTAATTTTGTTTACGATTTTTCGTAGAAACCAATTTTTTAAGAGAACACCAAATAGTAGATTATAAAACCAATAGCATATAATATCATACAAGCCTAATGAAAAATCAATTGGTAGTTCGAGAATTTCAAACCAGTATCTTCTTAGTCCTAACCAACTCATTAAAGGAATCTCTGTTCCTAATGCTGTAACAATATCTTTACTCATAGCCATTCCTTCTTCATTTGGTTTCAATAGTCTCAATTTTATATCCTCGTGGATTATTTTTCTATATAATTGAAATGATTCTTCATAGTTTCCATCACATATATTAAATCGATCGTCTATACCTAATAAATATCCGACGCATCTCCATAAATGAATCAGACATTCTAATTCTTCTTTACTGCAATATAAACCAATCTTTTCAGGATATGCAATCATCCACCCAACGAATGCAAACTGAGTTGCTGCCATTCCACTTTGCGAGAAAAATAAAGCGTCTTTTAGTTTAGGTTTGTCGTAGGACGGAGAATCTAGGGCTTTTGCAACTTCTTTATGCATATGTCTTACTGTAATTAACGATTTGTGAGCAGAATTTTTTGGATTCCAAATATCTCCAACATACCAGCTAATTACATGCTTGCAAGTGATGATATAACGATGTAACAAAGCTGGAATAGTGCTCGATTTTCCAGTATAGAGAAACGGTTCTATAGTTGGCGTATACATAAATATAAGAATTAAGCCACAAAGATGTGTCATGCAAATACTGAAAAAATAAGAAATGGAAGCTTTAGATATTTATACATCATAAAATTTTTTAAAATCAATATTAAATCTTATTAAACTTTTAAATATTTAATAAAATTTAATATAATCGTTACTTTTATAAATAAATCGATGATTAAAAAAATCGAAATTAACATATTAGTATTAACATTAATGTAGTATTAATTTATAATAGTTTAGATATTTAAATATATTTAATGATTAATCGTTATTAAATCTATTTAAATACGAGTTCTATTCATCAATGGTTAAAGTTCACATATAATATTAAATTATTATTTTACTTTTGTTTCTTAATTTCCGTCCTACAGAAAATACCAATAGAAATTTTCGGAAAACAAGGTCAAAATTGAACATGGATTTTTCTATAATATTCTATTAATGTATGGCACTAGTTATATATATTTATTAAGTGAAGTACTTCTAGCTGTAATTGTGTATTAAACGTTCATCTTTTCGAAAAGGTAGTGCGCTTATTACGAAATATTTTATCTTTTTGTTTACAACCTATCTGAATAAGAGAATATATCGTCTTCTATGTTATTCTTATCTTGTCTGTATCATTATCATGTTTGTTAATGCTGATCACATGATTATTTTTCCACTTCCTAGAAGCATTTATTATTATATCGCATTCTTATTTCTATTAAATTAAATTTTCCGGAATATAAATATGAATTTTTAAAACATTTTTAAAATGTAATATTTCATACTTACCTACAAAAGTTATTCAAAAAGATATTACGAACTCGTTCAAATTTCTTCTGATCAAACCATTCTGGTTTTATTTTCATTGAATTTCCGTTATCAGCAGGCACCATCCTACCGATATATTCTTCTTTTAAAAACCTTTTTAATTTGTTCTCCATTCTCTTTATGAAAGATAATACAAGTGAGGTAAATTAGAAATAAAACTGATACATTCAAATTTAAATAAATTTAATATTTCCAAAATAATCGAACATAATTGAAATAATGTATTATATTATTAAAATCTTATAAAGATCAACATAAAACTCTAAAACAATGTATAAAAGAGCATTCGTGATAAATAATTTAAATTTAATTTGGAATGGCTACAACTATCTTTGCGTACTTCTAATAAACCAATGTTACGGGAACTATTGTTAATATCAGAAATAATGTCAATGACCGGACCATAACTTTATCATTTAAAAATATTGGAAAATAACGCTTTACAATCCGATCAATAACGTTATTGCTCTACTGAAATGGGTAACGTTGATTCTAACAACAGCAGTTGGACATTATCTTTATCTCCCAGTCTTCTGTACGACTACAGTTATTTCACCTTATTTTCTATTCCCCTACACCCTCTAGACCAGTGGTTCCCAATTAGTTTTTCCTGCGTACCACTTCAAGAAAGAGCTCAAACTCGCGTACCCCTTATAGCAGAAATTCATATTAATCCATACTAATATTATAAATTCGAAGGTAATTCTGTCTGTCTGTCTATTACCTTTTCACGTCTAAACCGCTAAACAGGTTTTAATAAAATTTAGCACGGAGATAGCTTACATGTTGGAGATGGACATAGGCCACATTTTACTGCGAGAAAATATCTTACTCCCACGAGAAAATTCGATATAATGCAAGCGAAGCTGTGAGTAGACAGCTAGTGATAAATAGAATAAGATTTTTTTACATTTATTACCTTTAAAATACAATTCTAATAATAATGAAAATAACATAAGGTTATTTATTTTATTTTAATGCGACAAATGTACACAATTTTCTTTGCACAATTTTTTGTAAAATCTGGTTGCTTTTTGGTCAGCTTCAGTCTCAAGTCATCTTCCAGATCAAGTCGGTGACGATGTTTAGTTTTCATGTTTGTCATGGCCGAAAATCCGCTCTCGCAGAGGTATGTTGTGCAAAATGGTAGTAAATATTTTATTGGCGCTTTGCTGACATGATAATAATGATAATTGTACAATTAGCACAATTTGTGTTAATCGTACAGTTTTTGTTTCTTGCGTAAGAATTTCATTTAGGTATTGTCACAAATGCATTTTTTTAAATGAAATTTCGAGAATATTTTTTAGTTATAAATAAACAAATTTGTGCATTCGACATCGGGTTGTAAATTGCCGAATTTTTGATGGTCCACCCATTATTTTTTTGATTGCTTCATCTCATGCATTTAAATTTTGAATCGACCGATTTTACATTGCCGAGCGTACTCCTTCATGCGATTTCGCTTACCCCCAGGGGTACGCGTACCACTAATTGGGAACAATTACTCTAGACCAGTGTTTCTCAACCTCTAACTAATTGTCGCCCCCTTCAACAAAACTGTTACCTATTATCGCCACCTTCACTTCAAAATTCCGATGCCAAGGGCCAAGGCTAACGCCAAATTCGTACTGCATCGAATAGACTAGTGACTAGTATAATGTTATTTGTTTAATTATTGTACGACATAACGAATAAAATATCTAATTATTCTTAATATGTTTTACTATATCGCTTAGAAAATTGTTTTTAGCCCCCCCAAAATATAAATTGTTACTAATCGCCCCCTCAACATGAAAAACGCCCACATGGGAGCGATATCTCCCCCGTTGAGAAACACTGCTCTAGACCAAAGAATAGGAATACAGGTATAATTCGTATTATGTGAATGGAAACTTCTCGAAAGTAACGTGATGAACTTTACCCCATTGCGCCTATACCAGATGTGGATCGTGCAGGAGGTTGTGAAGAAATTTATTGGCAGTAGTTACGAACGTTAAAGACAACTTCTACGAATTTTGTAAGTTTACGCAAGAGTAATTAGAAAAACCCACCGCTATTTTGACATATTATGTCCTTGTTAGGGTTGCCACATGTTGAGATGCTCGATGTAGGACAAATCGGCAACAAAAAAGGGGGTTTAGTAAAAGAAAGTTAAGTATATTTATAAGAATATTATTATGTATTTCAGATAAATTTAGGTGAAAATTAACTATACTTTAAAATAACACTATACAATTTAGGTAATTATTATCACTAATTTGAATATACTGCCATATATACCGTGTTTCCCCGAAAATAAGACAGTGTCTTATATTAATATTTGCTATGAAAAATGCGCTAGGTCTTATTTTCAGGGAATGTCTTATTTTTTCCAGGAAGAAGAATTCACATTTATTATTGAACAAAAAATTTCCCAAGTCGAACTTAGACGAGAGTGACGTATATCCGGTGTGTCGAACTGTCGCCTTTTTATAGCGTCAACATCGGACTCGATGACCAATTAGTGCTTACTGAACCGTAGCACTATGCAAATGTCATGTGGCATGATCCCCGGCCGACCAATTAGCCATCACCAGCCGTAACGTTATGCAAATCTGTGATTTCCAAGCCATAGTCTTATGCAAATCATACCGTGTGGCGTAATTGTCTGCAGACCAATCAGTGGCTGTACTTTCAAAAAGCCAACGGCCACTTTCAACCATCTGTCGATGACCGTTACGACTAAAAAAACTTCGCTATATCTTACTTTCAGGGGAAGGTCTTATATTTCGCAATTCAGCAAAATTTGTGCTAGGTCTTATTTTCTGCGGATGTCTTATTTTTGGGGAAACACGGTATATTGATAGATATATATTGTTTGTTCATTTTGTCTGAACTTATAGGCTTACTTTATTATTATTATTATTTGCATATTTATACTGTACATCATTCTGTACCTTTTCAAAAAACTGTTTTAGGCTGCAACTGCTTTTGCAATCGACGCTTATAAACAATTCTGCTTTGATAAGTTCAATGAAATCCAATGGCGATTATAGCCCTTCCAGCCGGGCCAAAAATGGGAGTTTATAGTAAAATGAAACCTTTCATTGTTGGGAGAAAATCCTACACGTGTATTTAGAAATTAATTAAATATTCTTTATCTCTCTTTTGATTTTTTTAAATGACTTAATTTTTGAACATAAAGTATTTTTGTTTACAAATATAAAATAGGACAATTAAGCTTTCATATAGGACATCTATCATAACTGTAGGACTGTCCTACTGAAAGTAGGACGCGTGGAAACCTTAGTTCTTGTGGTTTTACTATCTTTATTTAAAAGGTAGTAAAATAAATAAATAAATAAAAACTAACTATTTCTTTATTCAGGCACTCCTATCGGTATTCTAAAAGAAAAATATTGAATGACTTATCAAAGTCATCAGCCGACATAGAAATAAGTTTGAAGGAAGCATCATCATCAAAGAAACCAGCATCGTCAGAATGCTATTGCAAAACAAGATGCTAAACTAACAAATGCAACTGTCGCTTTGTTAATAAACTGCGCAATTCAAAATGCCATGCTAGTTTGGATTGCAACAATAAATAATTAAAAATGTTTAAATAAAGATGTAAATAACTGTAATTTAAAAATGTAATAAAGATTTTTAAAGTTAAATTAATGTTGCATAATCTTGAGTATCAACAGTGCTCAATACCAGTAACGAGAATGACGGAGAAAATTGGTATAATACGGCAAATATCTTCCTAATTCACAACGTATCCCGAATGAAACTGAAAATTTACATTAATGGTCAGTCAATAATATTCTTGTCGTACAATATTGAGAGTAACATTATAGACCAACTATTAACGTTAATGACTTGTTAATATCATTGACCGTAAAATATATATAATACCATCCAAGGTAAGGTTTACAAATAAAATTAATGGCATTATATATATTAAATAGCCTATATAAAAAGAGAATAAATTATAATAGCCGGGAGAGGCTGAGGTCGAATTAATTTTACAAAATTAAAGTATAAAATATTTTTATTTTTATAAATGACTTTGGTATTTAGTAATCTCTAATACAATATACTGCAATACTACGATTTTCTCATCAACATGTTACGAGATCTCTGTAAGTAAGCCAACTTCTGGTTTAATAGACACTAGAAATATTCTCATTAGGTTAAGTCATCTTGACGTCTGTAAAAGTAGAGATTTTAGTAGACTTTCACTGGTATCTGTAAAATCAGTTAATGTTCTCTTCGCTTTTTTTTATATTATAAAGTTTAAATAGACATTAAAAATGAGTTTTAAGCGTGTAATCAACCTTATCTGGTTTTGTATGTATTATTAACAAAACAAAATAGTGAATTATGCAAAATTATTTAATCAAAAAATTTTGAATCGCATAATTTGCACAATAATTAATAATTGATGCATTTTATAAAATAAAAGTTACTGCTTTTTATTACTTGTCAGTGTATTGTACTTAAAATAAGTAATCTGTAAAAACAGGAATGGTTAGGACTGAAATTTAGAACATGATTCGATAAAACCTATTTCTTTAGCATCATTATATAGCATCATCATTGTTATTGGTAAATTTAATATTAAACGATTAAAGAACTATTTTAAATTTAAAAATTATTTAATAAATAGAATTTTCAAAGTGGTGAACGTTTTCATCATCGTCGCCAAGACATAGATATTATTTTTGTAATTTCTGAATGAATAATTTTCTTCTAAATCAATTGAGTCATCATTATTAGCTTTGTTAGCTAATTTAAAGCAAAAATAATAATATAAACAGCATTTGCAACTTTAATTGCAAATTAAAATAAAAAATACTTTAATATATCAGTTTTCAACGATTATATAACTTGCTATTTCCTTGATCCGGAGATCTATCCTATATTTAGAAACTCGACCCTTANTCGCCTTACGTCGGTAATTGGTTCCAGGAAAACGACTTAAGTCGAAAAACGACGTAAGTCGAATTTACTTGTCTCCGAATCTACTTGTCACTAGGAAAAACCATAAATTATTATTCCCAGATCTGTATTTTATTTATTAATGCATTTTTAATAATATATGGTTAATAAGAATCTATCTTAAGCTTACAAAGAAATAAATTTTAGTTTTTAATAGAGTACAGAAAAAAGTAATGTAAATTTACGAATGCATGTACTGTTCTGTAAATACAGTACATACTTGTAAATGTATATATTTTAATATGATTTTATGTGCTTTAAACGCTTTTCTAGTGATATTACGACTTCAATATTTGTGGCGGACGGACGTAAAGGCGAATAAAATGACTTAAACTTGACTTTTTTTTTCCGTATACTTTTTTGACAAACGACGTATAATCGGGAACGATGTAACTCGAAACGACGTAAGTCGAGGTATACCTGTATATATTGATACTTTGTAATCTTAATCCATATTATATATATAAATAAATAGGTAGCATATGAAAGGGAAATTGTCCAGTTTCCGTCTCGTGAATCGACATGTTCCCTCCACGACCACTCGATGTTTTGACCAGCCCCTCGGATTAGATAAATTTCGCGAGTTAAGAGGCGTTACTTCTCAATAATATGACAGATTTATACTAGCAGATTCTCCTCTGCGTAGTTCATCATATTCAAGTTATCACATACCTAATTGTGAAGCAATTTCATTGTATTTTTACAACAAAATATACTGTACATTTAAACGTAGTAATATTAACTTTGAAAATCGTTAAATCACGAAATTATGGCATAAAATTTGTTTAAAAATTATTTTAAACAAATTTTATCCCCTAAAATAAAACAAAAAGTTCTTTTTTCATCAGAAATTAAGCAAATCATTGCTAGTGTAATTATTATTGACAATAACTGTGAGGGGGAATAGTAAATTCCCTGTCAAAACAGCAAAAGGTTTTTTCGCAAAAGATTGTGGGTGGTGGTGACGGAAGCTCGAATACGAGGCACCTTTACAAGAGAAACCCGTTTATTTTAAACTAAGAAGGGTTACTTAAATCAATAAACTCTAAATTTCTTCAGTGAGCATTAATGTTCGTTCTAAGTTCGTTTCACTTGATCTACGGACATTGAAAAAGTAGGCGATGATAAAATTTAAATGCTTTGTAATAGGAATTGAGGAAACTCATGCCACAGTTTTAAATGAGATAATAAAATCTAGTTACTTCAGAAAGAATAAAAACATATTAAATCTATTTTGTATGTTGTAGGGCAACTAACAAAAATTATTAAAGAAATTTCAGTTCTAAAATAAATACAAAGTAACTGAAAAATTAGATTCCAGTAAAAATTATAAGAATAGTTATTAGGATAATTTTGGCAGTATTCCTGTATGACTTTGTATAGGCTATATTTCGTTTGTTGACTTAATATTTATCTTTCAGTGAAAACATGATGAAACGCGGATTCATTATAGGCTCAAAATTTGTTGATTCTTTATTATTAACCGTTACTAAAGAAGATAAAAAATAAAATATAATTTATGTAGACTATCGTTACACCTATCCGTATGGACGGATAGAAGAATGACGTCCACTTACAGTAATCAGATGTTAGGGTGAAAACAAACGTAACTAATAAATACAAATATGCTAGCGGAGAGCACATTTTTACTGAAAAAATGCCAAAAAGTTATTGTACCATGAATTTCCATAATCATAATCACGACAAAAAATAAAAACACGGGTTTTTATCTTTTTCTTAGTGACGAATATAGGTAAAATAAATGGATTAAGCCGAAAAGAATTAAAATGGTTGCTACTAGGGTTTCTCCAACGGAATCCCTGCTGTTTTTTAACCCGGGAAAATTCTTTTCATCCCGGGAAATCCCGAAAATTTCTTAAAAATTCACTTTTTTCTTAATTTGTGATAAAGTTGAGGAACTTTTGCAAATAGAAAGTATAATTAACCCCTAAACTATCAGAATACATCTGTTTTGATTAATTTTAAGCCTGCTTATTAGTTTTTAATTTTTTGCCCGTTATGTCATGTCACAGATTGTCAATAATCAATATGTAGTCTATTTGTAGCAATACTGAAAATTCTTTACTTGTCGGAATCTGTAATATCTTGAATAATTGCGCCGATGCTGTCGTAATTTTTAACCATGCTCAGTAGCTTCCATAGCTTCATTATGTCAGGTTGTGAAAATTGGACCAGGATATAAACGAGTATAAAACATGCAAGTACGAAGTTTTTCTTCATAAACTCTATTATTAAAGTCAAACGAACTTCCGTATTATCGGGCTATAAGCTCGATGCCTCTATTAAAGCATCCGAGGTAGGCAAATCAAGAATATTAGACGGCAAAAGAAGTACTGTAAAGCACTCGAAAACGAACAAGAAATCTTCCAGGCTACAGGTGAAAAAAACACATATAATTTGTTTTCTCTTATTTGTTTTTGTAAACAGTTTCCAACAAACTTTAATAACTTTTTTCTATTTGTGAAAATTTCTACGTAATTCGAAAGTAATTTTTTAAAATATATTTTACATATATATTAATTTTTTATTTTTTAATATTTAAAAAAAAAATTTTAATATTAATATTTTACACATACATTAATATTATTTTGGAGGTTGCAGGACGTATTAACTTACTTAAATATGAAAAATAATTATATCATTCGATTTTAAGATTTATTTTATATCTTAAAAATAATTAATTATATCCC